TTTTCTCCTCTGGCACACTGAAGACCACCCTCTGAATAAGTGATTAACAGAGGAGGCATTACCAAAGCATACGACCTTCATTGACCTCAGCTGTGAAGATCATTCCAGTTAGGAGAACACTTGGGGTTACATTTGAATATTCAGATGCGGGTTGACTTGCTGACCTCTGCCACCCAAACCACGATCAAGATTTGGCTCCAGGGAAACATCAAAAGTAATTTCTCTCCATAGTGTTTTTACCAAGATGTCATGCCAGTTATATTTTACCTGACTTCAGCTCTGAACAAGGTGAACTTTTTAAAGTTTCATTTCTCTTTAGTATACACCTCAATAAACCCAAGTCAATTCTGTGGCATCATACTGCTAACAACAGCTCTCACATGTATCACTGGCATTCTTTATAATACGCTGTTAAAATGAGAAGTGACTTTTAGGTATTGGCATACATTGTCCTCCTTTGAGCTCATACATTTGTACTTAGAACTCCACTCAACACTGCTGGTAACTAAATGAATACTTTCCCAGTCTCTCCTTCCTGACTATAAAAATATACACTTATCCTTGCAAAAAGACTCTGAATGCATACAGCCACCTCCCAGCACCATTACCAGGTCAAAGAGCAGATGCTGAGGTTGCACTGGCACTTCCCAGTTATCAAAGGTTTATGGTTTTGCTGAATTGAACTTTCTCGAGCGCTTGAAGAAACCACTGAACAACTTCACGCTATACAAATAAGACAATTCACACTGCCCATTCAGTTAATGCACGTACACAGGTTGATACTTTAGATGCTAACATACTGACTATTGCTACATCTGAGTCCTCAGAATGCCTTTTGTAAAGGACCACTTCACTGTCTGAATATATCCTTGCCAGAAATTATTCCTAGTTTTAAACTGATTTTCCCCCAAAAAACTCCCAGATTTGAGAGACTTCTAAATTATCTCTTATGGACAAATAATCAAGAATGGTCTTTCAAGAGCTTCCCCAGAAGATGAATCCTGATACAAGAATGAAATTTAGGGCTTAGTTTCTGTTTTATTTTTTTTTAAGAATTATCTTTTCCCAGAATTTCTACCTAACATCTATTCTTCTGTTAGACCCCTGTAAGACGTGATGAGTTTACCATTTACGCTAGTAAAGTATAGTAAATTCATTAGGAACTATGAGCTCCATGGTCACATGTATTAACTGTCAAGCCTTTTCTCTAACCCTAGGGTCGAAATTTTAAACATAAAACACTAGAGGCAAAATCAAGTATTAAAAATGTTAACATAAAATCACATTAACTATTTCTTACTCATTATTTTTTCTTTAGAAGACAATTATGGTCAACCAGAACAGATACATGATGCAACAGGTAAATCACTTAGAGAAACACAAGACACTGAGGTAACCTTAATACAACAGATAATAAGCATAGGTGTGTTGAAACAATTACATTTCTCTAATTATTTGGCATCCTATAAGAAAGTAGAATTAGATCCACAAGAGAATCTAAATGCTATGCCACCTACTAGACTCCACAATCCACAGATAAGCAACCAAGCTCCACTCTACAATGAAAAGGGCATGTTATGGGTGCTGTTCAAATATCTAATATTCAACATCAGCAGGAATTGGCCAAGTCACCCAAGAATAAACAAAGATCAGAGATTTAAGTCTCCAGAATTTCATGTCATGCTGGGGAGATAATAAAACAATCCCAAGAAGAATCCGCTTCATTTACTCTTTGTACACTTTGCCTGTAACAAGGAAATCTGTGTCCATATCATTGATTTGTACTTGATCAAGCCACTCCCTGGGCTACACATGCCATTCACTCCTTTCCTAAGTGAATATTACTCTTCACAAATAAAACTGGCTGGTGTCTAAAAGCACTTCCCACCCAAACACCCAATGGCCTGGCAGTATGGACATTCCCTTTGGGAACTGGCAGCTCCCCCAAAAAGCAGGAGGATTTGAACCCAAATCTCAACATGCTGGACAGGTACTCAAACCATTTATGCATCTGTAAAGAAATGCAACATCCTTTTTCTGCCAAAAGATAAGCGTGCAAGATTAGGCCCCTTCTGTGTTTCCTGCTTCACAGAACAGAAGTATTCCTTGTGGAAGTATGCATTACCAATGGTATTGCTGTTTGCTTTCTAACTTAACTGATGCAAGCCTTAAGAGTTACAGCATTTTTTCTTCCCACACAGCTATGTGTTAGTGTGCAATTAGACACTCCAGCAGTATAAAACGAGTTGCTACCAACAGACACACACAGCTGATTACCTCTGATTAAAAAAACACCAACCCCCCCAAACTTACTTTATAATATTCTGCAATATAAACTACTTATTCAGTTATAATTTCCTTTTTCCCCTGCTTCATACTTTATCCTGAACTATACTTAAGACATTTGGTGGAGCTTGTCTAGCTATACTAGTAGGGCAGGAAATAGGAGGTGTACATAAAATTCTCCTGTTGTCAGAATAGCTGTATTGAAGCTGTAAAGTAGATAACTAAACTAGAAAAGCAATTCTGCCAGCATAACTGATGTTAAGCCATCATGTAAACTGTTTCCACTGAGTTTTTTATTGCAGACATGGCTGCAAACCTTTTCAAGTATACAAATGCCTCTCTTTACCCACTAATAAAAGGAAAACAAGACAGTACTATTTAATTAATATTTACAAAAACTATTGAGGTTTCCAAATACATGACCAAGGCAGTAATTAGTCTTCCAAATACCGTAATGTCAACTCTACCTGTCACACTGAGAAAGCACCTAAAAAACATCAGTTGCTAGAACATTTAAAAATTTTAAATGACACATGAACACAAACATAAATCCTGTCATCTAAGAAGTAGTAGACTGTTTGAATGTTTATCCTTCAGCATTCTAAAAGCCTAACCCTGTAAAAGGAAAGCACTTAAAAGTGCAAATTGGGAAAAAACAAACGGTAGCTGAAACAGGTAGTTACAACTGTTAGCATGGGATGCTAAGCTCCAGCCTTTGATGATACATCTTAACAGAATTTGCATCTAAAAATGGCGCAGGTTTTTTAAAAGCCTGCAACTTCAAATTACAGCAGGAGATTTTAATTAAAAAGCAGCAAATGGAGGTGTTAGGAAAATGTAACTATTTACATGTGAAAACAAATGGATGCACATGAACTTCAGACTACATTAAACTTTCTGTGTCCGTAGCCCTTGGCATGAATGCTAACCTCTACATATTGCACTTTCACCGTTTCTAAGTCCCATACAGCTGTGGTACTGAATGATGCCTGTCACCCCTCAACGGCCTGAGAAACTCCTGCAGATTCCTAAGGCAGACAAATCAGTCTAGTGAAGAAATATCTTGATGTTCATTTCTAAGTAAGTTCAGAACTGTTGAGAAGAAATTCAATAAAAACTAAGTAAAATTATAGTCTTTACCACTACCTAATTCTTTATAGAAAAAATTACCATTCACTGTTATTCCATACATTGCAAGACAACATGACACACATTGAAAGGATGTAAAATCTGAAAGAACGACTTTGAAAAGAGTTAATTGATCATGTATTAACACTTAACTTTCTGCAATGTAATGTAAATTAAATTTACCCTTCTGCTACACTGCTTCAAAGTGCTGTAAGGTTCATAATGCCTTGTTAAAAGTATCTACCATATTAACCATTAGCTAACCTTTAATGTGTAAAATACTGAAGTTTTTTTTGATCACAGTACATTGGAAAAGAGTTTACATCTGTATAAACCAGCCAGACACTAAAGTGTTTGACATTCAGATTTGTAATAACAGCTCCAATAAGATCTTAAGAAAAAAAATATCTACTGCCTGTGAAAATTGTGACGACAGATTAAAACCAAAAGCTTGTGGACTCAGATGCCTAAAGACAATACAAAGATATCCTACTTTTTACAAAGTCAGGAAAACACCTTAATCCTCCAAAAAGGCAGAGAGGCCTCTTTAAGGCATAGGAAGTTATACACTGAGGCAGCAAACATATAGAAGTGATCACCGGTCACTTGTTAGAAGTCTGACTGCAGTCAAATATTGATATATCATCATGAACAAAAAACCGTCACAGCACTAGTTGGTATTTACCCCTTGTAATGTTCCTCATTAAGTTATTTTTCGTGGATCAGTTTCATGTGAAACATCTAAGAACATTCTCATAAATATTTTTCAAAAAGGTCAACTACAAGCTAATTTAGTTTTCTCAGGCGGTCTGTCTCACTAAGCTCACAAGTCACCGCGTTCTTTGTTGCTGGGCTGTGGAGTCTCTCCCACCACACCGCCTCGGTCCCTCCGTAAGGAAAACACCAGCACCGGCAGGGCATTATCATTACAAGCGTTCGGAAAAGCTGTTCCGAGCCGGGATGTGCGCTAACTACCGCTGACTATAAAACACACACTGGAAGTCGCCCATGTTCAACCTGTTTTAACTTAGCCCTTCATAAGCCAACATGAAGCAATTTCTTTACAGAGGCACCATTTCCAAACACAGAGCTGCCAAGGAATCAGAAGTGCAGAGCAGGGGGCCTCAAGTTTCCCCCCTCGCTAGAACACCCTCTATAAACACAGAGAGAGAGCGCACAGCCAGGTGCGGGAGGTTTCCTTACACCTCCCGGGCCTAAGCTCCCGGGAGGCACCCGAGGGTGGAAAGGAGGGAGGGAGCGAGCCGCTGTCGGGAGGCCGGCTGGGCGCCCCCCGCCCTCGGGCAGCGCCGCCGGCACCTGTAGCCGCCGCGGCCGGGCCGCCCCGCCCGAGCGGGACCCGCGGCCGGGACACAGCCCGGGCCGTCGCCAGCGGGGCGCGGAGAGCGGCGCCGTGCCCCGAGAGCCGCCGAGCGCCGCTCTGCCCCGCCGTCCCTCCTGGCCGCGGCCCGGCCGGACCCCGGGCCTGCGCGGGCGCCGTGGCCGCGGGGGAGGCTCCGGCCAGCCCAGGCTCGCGGCTCCGCGGCACGACCTGTTGCTCGCACGCCGGGCGCGGGCGCTGCGCTCACCGTCCGTCCGTCCGTCCGTCCGTCCGCCGTCGCTGCCGCTGACACGCTCCGGCCCGGCCGCCGCTGGAACGCGGGGTCTCCCACGCGTCGCGCCGTCCGCGCACCGCTCCCGCGGAGCCGCCCGGCCACAGCCACAACCCCGGCCCCGCCGCAGACGCAGCCACAGCCACAGCCCGCCGCCGCGCTGCGCAGCCGCTGCCCAGCCTCGGCCCGGCCCCGGCCCGCCCCAGCGCCACCGCCCCGCCCCGCCCCGCCGCGCACGCGCGGGGCCGCCCCGCTGCCGCCACGGCCGGGCGGGAGGCCGGGTCTGAGTCCGGCGGTGTCCGAGGGGCAGGGGGCGGGCAGGGGGTGCCCTCGGCTGGGGCGGACACACGAGATGTGGCACTGCTGCCGTGTCTCCTTCCTCACGACTCACAGAATCGACCAGGTTGGAGAGGACCCTTGAGATCATCGGGTTCAACCTGTGGTCGAACACCACCATGTCAGCTGGACCATGGCACTAAGTGCTCTATACAGTCTTCCCTTAGACACCTCCAGGAACGGTGACTCCAGCAGTTCCCTGGGCAGCGCATTGCAGTCCAGTCTTTTCCCACCGCCGTCTCCCACCTCTGTGGCACGGCTCTCTGTGCCTCCCCAGCCCGCCGCAGCTGTGCCCCGGCCACGCCAGGTCGCTGCCGCCCGCGTCTCCTCCACACTCCCTGCCATCCCCCCCGCTTCTCTGGTATTCCTGCTGCAGCCGCAGCCCAAGCTTGAATGCCTCAGCCAGGCTGGAGCCTGCTGTGGGAGAAAAAGTGTTTAATCTCTTCTGAGAGTCCAGTCTGCCGTCGGGAGGCTGAGGCGTAGAAGGCACCCATGACACAGTGTCTGGAAGAATTAAGGGAACTGGAGGTTGAAAGTAGTTTTACCGCGTTGTTTGTATCCATGGCTGCGTTGTACAGAAGCAGGGAAACATATTCTCAGCGTGCTGCAATTTAGTTTGACTTTAGCTGCAAAGTGCATTCACTCCCCTGGTTTTTCAGGCTGGCCTAGATCGTTGCCTGAGGCATTAGAAGAAATGTTCCACATAAGAAGACAAGTAAAAAAAGGCTTTCTTAGATCACTAAAAACTCCTAAAGAGATACTTATTTAGTCCATCTCTCCTTGCTTCAATTTAATGATATATAAATTTGCGTTACTTAACTGTGTCATTCTTCACAGTGAAATTGAGGCTTTCTGTAATTGTACCCTATATCATGTTTCCTTTTGGATCCATTCTAAAGCCAAACACAAAGGCCAATTTTATAAGTCCCAAAACCAGATCCCATGGTTTTCTTATTGTGTGGAAAGGCCAGCTGAACCTCACACTGAGGTACATCCTGTCCAGCTATCTGCAAAGGAAACTCTGAAAGTGTTCTAACTTTACATATTGTGGCTCAAACTCCCCAGGATGTCTTTTTGTTTGCTGTTTTCAGGGCAGCAATAATGATCAATAATGTGTCAAGTGAGCAAAACTGCAGCACTGCAGGAAATACAAATGTTGGACTGCAGAATTATTTACTTGAGAAATAGAAAGGGAGGGAAAACACGACACTGGTAATTCGTGGGTGAGCAGCACCAAGCATGATTCTTTTCACCTTCATATGAAAATGATGAAAGATCACGTGAGTCTTTTTTTCAAACCACTTTGTCAAAAGACCTGAAAACCAGAGGAATTTTTCAAAATGTGATACTTGCCTAGAAGTTATAATGACTGCAAAAAGTAGGTAGGTTCATCAGTTGCCCCTTCACTGTTGTCATCCTCATCCTAAGTGACTACTAGTTTAACTTTCTTTTCTACATCCAGGGTTGGGATGATCAGACAAAAAAGGCCTGATTGCAGTTTCCCTCAACTGACAGCATTTGTACTTCCTCTCACAGAAAATCTCATTGCCTCCAATTTGCATGTTGCCCAATAGCCAGTTTATAAATCAGGATAAGGGGGTTTTCTTCAATATGGTGTGTAATTTGTCATAGAGCAGAGAAGGATTCAGATGAGTTCTAGAATTTCCATTTCCCTCCTTCACCGTCTTACATCTGTAGCTGAAGTTTTGGTTTTTTGCCAGAAGGGGTTACTAGACCGGGTTAAGACTGAGCTTGAGATAACTCTTGGATATATCTGCTTAAAGATCTGTTTGTTTCTTTGGTAACCAATCTCCTCCCTCTGGCCTCCACAGACCCTAATATTAGCCCTCGCCCAGCTGGCAAATCCATTCATAAGGTATTTGAATGAAACGTGCTTGGCTAATTCTATCCAACAGATTAAAATACTCTGTCAGGCCAAGAAGTTGTCATACCTGAAAACGGTTCACAAGAGAGCACAGGATCAGCAGCGTTATTTGTAAAGACACAGATAACCGTTCTCTGTTGAATCATTTAAATAGAAAGCTCTGATTGTTCATTTGGCTTTGTGGGTGCTGTTCTGTGGTATGCTGAGAACACAAACATTACTGTGAGAAAATCAACATTTTAGTTTGAATTTAACAAAATCTGCAAATAGAAAAGATACAGATAAAGAAAATGAATGGGAGGATGAGGAAGAACAATGGAAAGATGATTGGGAAGATCAAATATTTTAATTTTCCTTTGTTTTGTCTTAGCTGATTAATCTTTCCTGTGAGGATTTACTAAGACAGCTTTTAAAAGAACTGAGAAAATTACTTACCAAAGTACTACAGTGCTTTCTGTTCCATCTCATTTTCAACATTTTCAATTATTATCTTTAAGCAGAAAGGAATTGAAAATAATTACCCAAGTGGTACCTTTTGTGAGCGAGCTTGGATCTTTGAAGATTTTGATTTTAGCCAGCATTTTTCTATGATTTTACTATTTGGGATTATGGAAACATTAAAGCATGCTTGCAGCTACAGAACCAATGTATTTAGGCAACTTTATTTATTATAAAAGATCCTTCTTTTTAAGATTGATGCATTCATTCTACAAATATTTTTTAACTAAGAAAATGCTCATCTTTGACGAATTGAATTTGACATGAATTAGTGTCACTGTTTGCAGGCAAGGTGCTGGTATAACTGTTCATCAATCTAAACCTGGATGATTGCAATCAATAGAAAAAAAAATCAATTCTGACTCTAGCTGAGGCATCAGCCAAACTCAGGACAAAGTGTTTTCTTTGAAACCATTGCCCTCTGGAGGAGAAATGAAAAATCACCGAAGGATCTGGTAAAAATTCCTTTTTATCTCACTGTGAACTGAATTTATGCTTTACAGCCCAAGAATGGTTCTACAGACAGACGGAAAAAAGGAATTATCTCAGAAGAGCCACATGGGACACAGTGCTTATGTCAGTGGGCTGGAGAAGTAATCCCCATCTGTCTGCCCCATTACTCTCCTCCCCTTTATCTCTAAACTCTTTATCTCTAAACTCACTGCACATCCATTCTATAGCAGATGTACTTTCTCTTCCAGCTCCCTCTTGGATACATTCCAAGTGGGTGTCCTCCCTCTTTATTTGCCAAAATATTTTTAATGCAATCCCTAAGGCATTCTTGTCTGCCTCATGGCAGACTCTGTATTCCATCCTCTTTCTTGATCTTTCTGCTGTTTGGTTGGTTGGTTGTTTTATTATCCTGATTACCTTTTCCTTCTACATCTTTTATTCTTGCACAGTTTTGGGAAAGTGTGTTCACTTCTCTTTATCTCTCTACCTTCAGGATTGACATCTACCTAATTGGACGATTTTTCTCCTGTCTCTGAGAACTTCACGGGGATTTTTCCCTTGGCCTTTAGATATTGATAGCTTATACCTTGGATAATCACATTTAAATGTCACCTTTAACTGAATACGAGTGAAAGGGAGCTCCTTCCTGCTCAGACTTTGCCTATATATTCTCCATGTGTTTCAGGGGAAATGACAGCATCTCCCAATGAACTTTTCAGTTTGATTTATAGCAATCTGATACCTCCTGACTACAAATCTGTTTTAACCCTAAGTAGGACACATGCATCAGCCATCTGAAAGAATATAACAGAAGCCCTAGTCCACCTGTAGGGCTGGTTGTATCTAGTGTTTCAAAAAAGAGCACAAAACACAAAAGTTCATAGGCCAAATTTTGCATTAAGCAAGAAAAAAATACCTAAAAATTCTTGGCCTCCATAACCCAGCAACAGAAACCCTGAATTTTGAAATTAAAACAGCAATCCAGTTTCATTTCAGCCTTCCTTGAACTAGGACAACACTAGGGATTCAAATATAGTCATGTTTGTCTCCTTGTGATAGCATCTTAAACTATTCCTTACTTCCTATCCAATAATTTCATTCTGCATTCACTTTCATCTGGGTGGCCAAAACATCTTACTCTCTAGTTATCCAGTGTCCTCTGCCACTCCTTAATCCTTCAAATCCAAAACTGTACAACTCCAAGTAAGGTCACAGCATTTACACATAGGGTCATAAACCCAGCAGAAGTTCAGCTGAAGAAAAAAGTTAATCTCTAGAAGAGGGGTCTCAGCTCTGGGAATACTATTCATCCCTCAATGCAGGGTCTCAACCCTAGAAATAGGAATCATTCCCAGAAGATGGGTGCCTCAAATAAAACCTAGAAGTGTTGATGTAACAGTTTGAGGCTCTATTTTATTTAGTCTCTACCCAGACAAATAATGGGTAGTAAAAATTATCTTTCTTCCACTGTTTTCACTTCCCCTATTAAGTTATACTCAGATTAGCAATTACCTTATCTGTCTCTTTGTATCTGTTTGCTGATTCTTGTTCTTCCTCTATTTGTGAAGAAATAAAAACCTATGAGATAACTCAGACAGCTGTGATAAAATAGGGGAAGAACCAACAAAAAGAACCAACAAAATGGTTGATACCGCCTAAGGAAAATATTTAGGTGGTAAATTCTATTGAAATAAGACAGTTGTGGTTTTTAGGTTCTCCTCATGTATGATCATCTTTCCTGAAAGGCAGCACAGTAGTGGTAATTATGTTAAAGACAAGACCTTCCTATCTGATAATGCTGCACTGTAAAGCTTGAGCTTTATATATTTATCAGTCTAAACTTTCCATTAACACCTCTTGAGCCATGGAGGCATAGCTGCTTGATTTGTGAGAGTGAATTATGTAGGATAGTACCAAAATATGTTTGTGATATGTTGCCATAAGCA